TAGTGCCAAAGTTCTTCTATTTTCTCACTTATCCCGTGTACCAATTTTCATCGAAATCGGACCACTTTGATTTTTCGTGATTTTTGGCATTTTTGCCCCATAACTCCGTAAACTTCCAAAAGCACCCCTAGATTTTTTTTCAAAATAAGAGTTTTTTTGGGGCAAGCTATCACTTGGTAAACTAGAATCACCATTTTCTGGCAAAAAAGCACGGTACGGGCCTGGTTTGGTTTGGCGCCATCTGCAAGGTGGAAGTATTTTGCAATACAAATACGTTCTATTGTTGCTGTCATTGGTTGCTGTCATTGATAGTTGGCAGTATATTTATATAGAAGTTTCATAGTTCAGCGTTCAGCGTCAAGATGTCGCTTAAATATAGCATAAACATGTGCTCCATATAAAGACATAGGCCAATTTTATCATTGAATCAACATTAGAACATTTTCTGTCTCTTATCACAGTACAACTTTGCCGCAGAACAACAATTGCTTACAATTGCAAGGATAACAACTGGTTTTGTTTTGTTTTTTGTTACACGTGATTAGTTTGTGTAAATATCTATGGGTAGACACAGTATCAGTTTGTCTTAATTCAACTATTTTGAACCTATTTTATTGTTTCTTCTAATTTCATGAGTTTTCACTAATATGTTTTTAAAAAAAAAATCCGTATTTGCTAAATTTTTCAGTTCTGTTTTGACAGTTGCACCAATATAATAACAACTGTCAACTCAAGTGTTGTATTGTTTATCCAAACAAAAGTGATTGATTTTTAAATTTTTAGATTGGTTTTAGGTTCAAAATTTATTTATATCAATTTATTTTGTTCAATTTTAGTCTAGGTAAATATACAAGTCTATATAAGATAAAATTGAATAAATTCATAACAAAATAAGTGTCACCGCTAAATATTGTTGATTTTTCTTTTGCTGCACACATTGCATTCGCATCAATTGTTAGTTTGAAATAGTTTTGCTGAACCACTTGCTATGAGCTTATTCTACAAAATCAACGAAAGCAATTATTTAAAGTGAGTTTTTACTTTCGATGCACATTAAAATTCCCGAAATGAAAGTGGCACTTTCGATTGTCGACACATTCGTTGGGTGTTGCACAAATGTCATCTTCATGGAATATGCTCTGAGGTAAGGTTTGAAGCCAGGCGATCAAGGCTAATTGGAACTGCATAGTTTTAAATTTCGTATAAAAAGCCGGCCTTGTGTAAAATATCAATTTTTCAAATGCAATAAATTGATTAATAAATCTCTTTAGAAATAATCTCCCTCTCTTCTTTGCACACCACATGAGTGTAAAGTACAGATTTACATTTTCGATATGTTATTAATATGTTATTGCCCGACATATTTATTATTATGTTATGTTGGAATTTTTTAAGTTATTAAGATTCGGCATAATAATAACATAACATATTTTGCGTTATATTGGGTGTTATCTTAATAAATCCTATGACTCGGCGATAATAACATATCTTGATAACGCTTTTTTGGCGCATTTTTCAACGATCAATTTCCCGTGTTTTGTCTACATTTCCGTGTGTGTAGTGTACAAAAAAAAAATCCTGCGCTTTTTCTCCCTCTGACTAGATGCGCGAATCAAAAGCGTCATTAAGATTGTATCATAATAATACATTATTAGCGACGAATCATAGGATTTATTAAGATAACACCCGACATAACGCATAATATGTTATGTCGATATCTTAATAACATATCGGCCGTTATTATTATGTTATTAAGTATAGTTAATAATATGTTATTGCCCGTAAATCTGTAACTCACAGATATTTGAATCTTAATGTACCCGCAAAAGATCGATAGATTTAATTAATGGTTTAATGCGAGAAGAAGAAAAAAACAAGGTACGAAAAGAATGCGCCGATATTTTTACTCTTTAAATCTTATTATGACAATTTGGTCGTAGCAAAGTGAGCAATAGCTACGATAAATAGAAGTTGTGCGTGTGCCCGCGAAATACGAATATGACGAACATTTTCATTCGATATGAGGTGCCAATCGCGTGCGATTATGAAAAGAAAAAGAGACGACAAGTGCATAATGCACAACCTCTACGGTGAAACAACCGCATAATTCATTTCAAGCAATAAAAATCAATCGCACACAAAAACAAGAGCGAGCAAAAACAGAATATGCAAACGGCAGCAAAACAGTTCCGCAAGCGAAAAAAAAAAAATATGTGTAAATGTTTCGCCCAATATGTGCAAATCGTACAATTCAAATTAGTATTATTATTTTTATAATCCGGAGCTAGTCTAAAATTATTTGATAAGGAACAACTACATGCATTTGAATATTTGTAGAAGTTCAAATTCAAACTCAAACCTCTTGATGATTTGCAGTTGAAGTTTGTAAAAAAAAAATGATACGAAAATTCCGGCACTGAGATTTTCATCGATTCCTGAAAGCAAAATGATTTACTGGAAAATTTGAAGTAAAATTTGCATTCACTTTAATTAGTTTTAAAAGATTTATTCCAACTGCTCCAAATAAATATAATATTATATAGCAAATATTACACAGAACCTGTTTCCAATTTGGTCTGCAAAAAATAAACTCTTTTTTAAAATAATAAAGAAGGAAATAAGTTGTACAAGTTGGTCTTAGGAAAATAAATAAATCATCGAGTGATCAACACAAATGTTACAGCGTACAAACTTCACACATTAAAAGTGCCTTTCCCGTAATTTTTATTCTATATTGACATTCTGGTGACTAATACAGTTACGAATTTGTGATAACAAAGTAATACAAACAATTTATTTAAAGAAATAAAAGATGCCAGTGTGTGTTTGACACAGTAAAAATACATATTTATTCTCACAACTTGATTATTTCTTTCTTTCTCTTTTAGCTACAACAACATTTCTTTAATCATTCCGGTATTACATACATTTTAACGAGGAAAAAAATCATCAAGAATTCCAAAATAATTTTCGCATAATCATTCTTTTAGATCAATCAATGAACCATCGGCCGTAGCAACTTTCACATTATCTTTCGCTCGCAGAGTGATGTGGTTTTTATTCACTACGTCTTCCCAATTTGTGTTCCCTTTGGGTGGAAAGTAATCTCCTTTATGGTATCTTCCTTTGATTCCAGTTATGACTTCCATGGAATTGGTGGCCGCCGCCGAAACGCCATCATCGGTTTTTCTGGATGCCTTGAAGTAATTATTACCAGGAAACGACACATGATCCCAAGCAACGACTTTATGTAGTTTGCAGTTGGAAAAATCGTCACCAGGCTCTTCGTAATGCTTTGGATCGCATAATTGTGGTTTATTCGGGTTTTGAGACGTCGGCCGTACGCGATAGCTCACACCGTCAATTTGATGCGTTTCATTTGTGCATTCGTCAAACGAATCGAAATAGATGCAAGCGATATTGTCGTAGTGTTTTGCGTGCTTCTTCAAAATGTATTGCAATGCTTGATTCAAATGTTCGGCCATTTTGCCGCGAAAATGTCCCGCAAACACTCCACATCCAATGCCCGGAATCGTAATAAATGCCTGTTGGTTATCCTGTTTTGCATTCTCGTTGGCGTAATAAAAAAGTGGCATGAGCCGTCTCTCCATCAGTCGATTGTAATTGTATTGATCAATGGCATTTCTAGAAATGACCTCTTTCATATCTGGGTTCATTGCAGCCTTCTTTTTGGATCGAAGCACTGGACCAGGTGTAAATAATAACGCTCCATTCAACGGTGGATTGTGTACACGGAAACTTGAATTTTTCGGCACCCAAACGCCGTTGTCGTAAATTGTCACATTCATCGCAATGTTGATATCACCCAATATCTGGAATTCCATGTCATTCCAATCCACACCGCCTCCTTTGATCCCATGCGTTGCAAAAATGATCGGTTTCTTGGTCAACAACAAACATTCCACAAATCGTTCAATAGATATTTCATTGAGAGGTGATTTATTCGTGTCCAAAATTTGTTTCAAATAAAATCCCGGCTTCAATTCGTTGGCAAACAGATCATTTTTGTACGAAACAATCTTGTCCACGGTTTCTTGACTCAGAACAATGTCGTAGTTTGGTTTATTTTCCATTTTTCTTCTCTTTCAATCTTGAAAATACTCTCAGGTTGTTGGTAAATATTATCTTTGATCTTCCAGTGTGTCTGTTTTAATCTTACGAAGAATTAACGTAAAAAAAAATCTCACGAATATTTGACTCGTCGTAGCTTGAGCCAGTTGACTTGTTTGCGCTATAAACTTTACTGACCAAATGAAATCAACTGGTGCGGCTCACTACACGGAAGTATAAACAACAATTTCACAATAAATACGAATGTGACACAATATTCTTTTGACAATGACTCACCAGGAATGCCAATAATTTCACCATTGCACGAGAATGTTTTATTTTTCTAATACAAATTTCGCTGATTCGACTTTTTTGGTGCTTTGAATTATTGTACTGGTTTCGATTCGATTAGGTGAAGAATTATTCTTTTTTTAAATCGACGAATATCTACAGAATTGTGGTTAAATCAGATATAAAACTGATTGCTGAATGATGATAAACAATCTATTTCGTCATAAACCGGGTGATTTTGTTTGGTATTTGAAAGCATATGCTCTACGAATGTGTGTGCGTGCTGTCAATTGTGAAATAAGTAAAAAATACACCATTGTGTTTGGGCGGTTGTTTTGAATATATTTATTTGTTTGATGCTCTCATTTTATTCCCGGTTGATGCCTTGAAAATTCTTGCAAAAGATTTGAAAGAAAATAAAATTTGCAATATAAAAGAACGTATTTTTAATGGAATATAAACATTTTTTTTTTAAATTCTAAAGTTCATTAGCAAAGTTTATAATTTCATCATCACACAATTATTCTTTCAAATCAATCAACAATCCATCGGCCGTAGCCACCTTCACATTGTCCTTAGCGCGTAAAATGATTTGATTTTTGTCGACAACTTCTTTCCAATTCTCATAGCCTTCGGGTGGAAAATAATCACCATTATCGTATATGCCTTTGGATCCAGTTATGACTCTCATGGAATTGGTAGCCGCCCCAACAACACCATCGTCGGTCCATCTGTGCTCCACAAAATAGCTATTCCCAGGAAAGGCCAAGTGATCCCATGCCACGACTTTATGTAATTTACAGTCGGAAAAATCGTCTCCATCCTCTTCGTATTCGTTCGGCTTGCACAGTTGTGATCGGCCATTATTTTGGGATGCCGGTCGAACGCGATAACTCACACGATCAAATTGTTGTGTTTCATTGGTGCATTCGCGGTGTGGATCAAAATAGATGCAAGCGATGTTATCGTAGTTTTTCGCATGTTTTTTTAATATATTCTGCAATGCTTGGTTCAAGTGTTGGCCCATTTGCCCAAGAAATTTTCCCGCAAACACACCACATCCTAGACCAGGAATAGTGACCAACGCACGTTGATTGTCTTTTTTTGAATTTTCGTTGGCATAACACAGTAGGGGCACCAATCTTCTCTCAACCAACCGGTTATACTTATCTTGATCGATGTCATCGCCAGAAATGATCTGTTTTAAATCTGGAGTCATTCCGACCACGGAACGACTTCGAAGCAATGGCCCATTTGTAAATAACAACGCTCCATTCAACGGTGGATTGTGCACACGAAAAGCCGGCTCATTTGGATCCCACACGCCATTGTCGTAAATCTCGACATTCATCGCAATGTTCAAATCGCCCAATATTTGGAACTCCGTTTCATTCCAATCGGTGCCATCCACTCTAATCTCTTCGGTTGCATATACCTTGGGTTTTTTGGTCAACAGCATATATTCCACGAATTTCTCAGCAGATGTTTGATCGAGAAGAGATTTTCTGGCGTCCAAAACCTTTTTCAAATATGTGCCCGGCTTTGCTTTGCTGGCGAACAGATCATTTTTGTACGAAACAATCATATCCAAGGATTCTTGGCTTAAAACAACGTCGTAGTTTGGCTTATTCTCCATCTTTCTTCTTTTAGCGCTTATTTCTCGTGTAAAAAGTTTAATATTACATCCAGCAAGTGAAGTAAATAGCGATGTCTCAGGTTTGATTAGGGATCGACCAACAATTGTGATAAAACGCATTCGTTTCTCCGATAAATATCGTTGCAAACCGGATTAGATGCACGAAAATGCCACTTTTCCACTCACAGTCCTCCTACGGAAAAATGGAAAAAAGATAAATGAATCAATTGGAACCACGTGTTAATATTGAAAAAATCTTGATCGTCAATCAAATATTTGTTCTCACGATCTAGACCAAATGTCTCTCATCTTTGATCTAAACAGTTGGTATCGGTAAAGATGGCGAGAGAATCATTTGAAATTTTCACTTCAATTTGAAAATCAATCAAACATTTAATGAGAATTGTGAAACAGCCGGTTTCAATATATGCCACAGAAGAATTTATTTTCCCAAATAACTGCGCATATTTGCCGGCACTTGTCAACAGTGGTATCAGTTCACATGAAATATTTAAATTGATTTTTTATAGAAAATATATTTTACCTACCTTTGGTTGGGTTTTGTCAAAAATTGTATTACTTTTTGAGGTGTCGACAAATTTTGCATGAATATGCGAAGTTGGAAGAAAAATACACGTATAGAACCAACAACTGGATAATAAAACAATGCAAGAATGTATACAAATCTGACAGCTCACACACTGTCAAAGGGCACATTGCGCGAAATGTCTGTGTTTGATCTGTGAACGCACATTCACATAGAATTTGCAAGAATTTCACATCAGTGTTGAAATGTTGACAATGTGTGCGTGATGGATCATAATTGTATGTTTTAGCGGTCTTTTTTATTTCGTTTGTGTTTTGATTCATCTTGATTCTAGACCATTATTTGGAATGAGCTGTCCATAAAAGTTATTAACCCAAAGAAAAACACAATAAAAAATGATTCTGGAATATTTTAGATTGGGAGGCGTGTGTGTTTTTTTGCATGGACTCTGGAAAAAAACAGATGTTTTTCTATCGATTTATTTGTTTTTTTTTTTACAAAAGCGAAAATAAAAAATCGCTCTTAATTCATGTAATTGATTTTTTTTTTTATTGAAGTCACATCAATCGAATTTTCGTAACACAATTAAAAATTGAATTAAGACTCAGCAACAAGCTCTCCTACAAAATCAGCAATATTTTTATCTTTTCTCTTTGTTACATAACACGGTGATTGTCCTCCAATTTATGTAGCATGGAAATGATTTTGTGCAACAGAAATTTTTCGCTGTTTTCCGATTTCAAATTTAAAATCAAATCGTCGATGGTGTTTTTCGAACGAACTCTGTTTTGTTCGTTCGATCGTTCGTAAAATTGAAAAATAATTTTTTTGTTCGTTCGTTCGTTCGAAAAAAGTTTTGTTCGTTGTTCGGTCCGAACAACATTAAATTTTGTATGAAAAAAAAAACTTTGTTCGGACCGAACAAAACATTTTCGAACGAACGAACAAAATATTTTTTTTTCAATTTCACGAACGAACAAAACAGTTTCTTTTTATGTTGACGAACGGTCGAACAAGTGTTCGAATGTGTTCGAAGGCCAACACTATTGACAGCAAAATAGAAAAAATCATCAAATGATTCGTAAAAAGAAAGAAAAAATCTGAAAATTAATAAAATTGTATGAGAAGGCATTTGATCAATTCTAAAATTCGAAATTCCCCTTTGCAAATATTTCATTCATAATAACGTTTTATTTCAATGAGTATCAGGTCTTAACGCAATTTATAAACATCTGATATTTTGACATGTCTAGTGAGTGGTTTACACGTTCACAGTAGCGCCTCGAATCATCAGCTGTCAAAGTGAGGTTAACGCTGGACGCGTTATTAATCGTTTCCTTGCATTTTCAATTGAAATTTCTCCGTTTCACCGTACATTCGGACCCGATTTAATCCAAAACAACGATGGCAGATGAAGAACAGGTAAATTAAAATGAATAACTTAAAAAAAAAACTCCGAACAAAATTCGATTTACATCATTCCTGTGATATGTGACGCTTTTGTTATTTTGTTCTGCAGATGCATATAATTCCGGTTAAAGAACCATTAGATTTAATTCGATTGAGTTTGGACGAGAAAATTTACGTGAAAATGCGCAATGAACGAGAACTTCGCGGCCGTTTGCATGTGAGTTGTGGCTTTACTTTCCTTTTATTCACTTGACTCTCTTTTCGTTTTGGATTTCTGTTTGATTTTCTCCTTTTTTGCCTTTCTCTGGAAGTCAAATTTCCTTTTCTGCTCTATAAAATTCAAAATGTGATTAATGTAAATGTTCCCATTGCAGGCATTCGATCAACATTTGAATATGGTGCTGGGTGATGCAGAAGAGACAGTCACAACGGTCGAAATCGACGAAGAAACGTACGAAGAAGTGTACAAAACCACCAAACGAACCATCCCAATGCTGTTTGTCCGTGGTGATGGTGTGATTCTGGTGTCGCCGCCAATGCGTGTCAGCTAAAGATGCCCATCCTACCAATTCCAATTGTCTTACTTAAATCGAAAAAAAAAATAAAATTGAATGTATTCGTAACTTGCAATCATTTTCATTACAAACTAACTTCCCGAAGCAGAAAAGAAACTCATTAGATCAAAACAAATCAATTTGTATGGAGACAGAAAAAAACAAGACTGAAATTGTTTTTCGTTGCTTGAAAAATTGCTTTATTATTTGCTTTCGATTGCTCATAAGATTAGATTTTTTTTTGTTCGTTCAATGTCAATTTCGTTTTGCCAGTTAGTAATTGTCGAAATGTGTAAATAATATTTACAAAGAGCCTCTCTCTCTATGTGTGTGTGTGAGTGTAAGCCGATTTACAATTCATAGATCATTTCGGTATTTTTCAAAGCGCCGAGCACATTCAAAGCGGTGATACGTGCCATTTCTTGTCGTGTTTCAATTTCAGCGCTGCCAATGTGTGGAATAATCACGCAATTATTGAGTGTTAGCAATGGGCTGTCAAGTGGCAACGGTTCTGGTGTGGTGACATCTAAGCCGGCGGCACGAATGGTATTGGTACGAAGTGCATCGTACAATGCGTCTTGATCGACGACTTGGCCGCGTGCACAATTGATCAAAACGGCTGTCTTCTTCATGGTGGCCAATGTTTTGGCGTTGATCAAATGGGTCGTTTCTGGTGTTAGAGCACACAATAAAATCACCACATCACTTGTGCTCAACAGCTTTTCGACGCTGACACGTTCCGCTCCCACTTCTCTGGCTTCTTTTTCCCGGCTATTCGATCGATTCGAATAGATGATCCGCTTTGGTTTGAATGGAATGATTCGTTTAGCTACTTCTTGGGCGATACGACCAAAACCAATGATTCCAATGGTTGTATCCCTGATCGCTGGACCACACATGTACATAGGTGCCCATGATTTCCAATCGCCGTTGTGCACGTCACGGTTGCCTTCGATCAATCGACGCGTTGTTGCCAATAACAAAGCAATGGTCAAATCAGCCACAGCATCGGTCAGCACTTCGGGCGTGTAGCCAACACGAATTTTCCGCTTTTTACACTCAACCAAATCGATGTGCTCATATCCAACAGACATTGTGGCAATGACTTTTAAATTTGGTCCAGCTCGTTCAATCACCTCTGCATCGATTTTATCGGTCAATGTGCAGAACAGCGCATCCTTACCAACAATTCCCTTTAACAAAATAAAATCACCAATAAAATCACCACAATAAAATTGAATGTATTCGTAACTTGCAATCAGACAAACAAACCTTTAACAATTCTTTGCGAGGCACAATCGATGCTTCATTCCAACCGTCGAGGTCACATCTATTTCGATGAAGACATGATAAGATAACATAAAATGTGTAAACATACGTTTTATCAGACGAAAAAAAATGAGAATAAACAATGCAGAAAAAAGAATAAAAAAAAACTTTACTCATTTTGCAGCAAATCGATGCCAGCCGTTGGGAAATCCGATCGTGTTAAATAAATTTGTGGACGCATTGTGGAAAAATTTGCGAGAAATCGTCGTGTTCCGGTGTTTCTTATCGTCGTGGCGAATGATTTCGTAGTGACAGGCTTTGTTATAGTTCTTGACACAACAATCGCACATGATCTGAATAGAGTCACGGAAGAGATCATGTTTCGATATGTATTAACCAAAACAACCAAAAAAAAATAACCCCTAGATAATTTCCCCGCAAACAAAAACACTGTACCACCAATTCAGTGATAGACTTGGGAGCGGTCACACGCAATTGAACATATCCGATGCTCAATACATTCCTAATTGCTTGATTACACAAAGTGTAGACATAATCGAAATTGTTTTTTTTTTCTCTTGACTTTTTAATTATAAGTGGCGATAGTTGAATTTAGGCACTATTCTAAAATTTTACATCAATATGTTAAGGTCGTATATACGTTATCGCAATACGACACCCAGTGTGAACGACCCGTTAGTCGGTTGGCGTGCGTGTCACGTGAGCTCGTATTTTTGTGTCATATACACACACAGAACAAGTCACAACATCGCTGCGAAAACAATCTAGAAAAAATAGTAGTTTCGGACGAAGAAATTTTGCGCAATTTTTCTCAATCTTTAAATAGCCGATAAATTTGTTCAATTTGATCCACCATGGCAAACGTTCTCAATTTCGGCAGGTAAGCCCATGAACGTATTTTCAGCAGTAAAAGTTTGGTGGAATTGGATTTTTCATCGAGAATATCTTTATTGATATATCGAGAGTGCATTCAGTTACATAATAATGTGCGATTCGTATCGTGTTGTGCCTAACATTGACATCTGGTTTTGTTTTGCAGAGTGTTATCCAGCCGGGCGCCGTTGCTATTCAAAGTGAATGCTGGCCAAAAGCTGTATCAAAATGCCCTTTTCACAACCAGCGCCCAGAAATACGTTCAACTCAAAATCGTCAAACCGAATGATCTGGAAAAGTTATCGTACGAAGAGAAAAACTCACTGTTGAAACGCGAACAATCACCTCATTTGACCATCTACAAACCACAATTGACCAGCATGCTGTCGATTAGCCATCGTATTAGCGGTGAGTGTAAACAAAGACACCATTGGATTTGTAATTGGTATGACCAGTCCCCGAACTTTATGAATTCAGATGCGACGACATTTGTGTAGAACAGCGCAGTAAATGACACATGAGCGAAGAGTGAAAATTGTTTGATGAAACGCTCTAGAACCCATTCATTTGCTTTGTACATCAAAATGATGCATTCTATGCATCAACATAATTTATTTCGGAAAATTTGAAAATTTCGGAAAGAAAAAAATTAAGTTTTTGCTGATGATTTGAAAGATGAGGAGAATTTTTTTCTGTAAAACATTTTTGTAGGTAAATAGAAGGACATTACGAAGAGGTGAATTCCATTCTGGTACAGAATGATTTTTTCTTAGAATTTTAAAAGAAAAGAATAGAGGAAGGTAGTGAATTCGAAACAAAAAAGTGATTCAACCGTGACTTACCTCTGAAGATACTTTTAATTCAATTCAAGCAATCTGAATCATGTTTTTGGACATAAGATTAGAATTTGAATTGATTTCATTTTTTTCAATTGATGAATGGCTCGAATTAAAATTCAAAACATCTCAATTTTGCTGCTTAATCCCTCAATATCTTTCCAATGAAAAATCCCATTCCAATAAAAAACGGAATCCGATGTAAAATTTTCTTCTTTGATAATTGCAGGTTTAATTCTAAGTGGATTTGCGACAGCCCTATGGTTTGGTGCGGTATTGCCGCCAAATGATATATCCTACTGGGTGACAGCCGCTGAAGGTGTGCAACTTAGTGCCGCCACATTAGCATTCATCAAATTCTACGTAGCGCTCCCTGTCACTTTCCACACATTGAACGGTGTGCGCCATTTGCTGTGGGACAATGGAAAATTCTTACAACTAACTCAAGTCTACAAAACCGGTTGGACGGTCGTTGGTTTGGCCGTTATTGCTGCCCTCGCTTTGGCTGCAGTTTAAGAAATATTTATGCGATTCGGTGTGCGTGGACTTAATTGGAATAAAAACAAATTTTCCTTAAAAAATAATGGTCATTTTTATTGTAATGCATTTTTCTTTTCTCTCACATGATTAATTTTTCTTCCTATCATTTGCCCATTTTGAGAAACTGAAACAAAAAAAATAAACAACCAATCTATAGTGTAAGTCCTACACCTAATGTGAATTTTTTTTCTGGTTCAGACAATGCGCTGAGCAACAACAACAAAAAAGTTAGTTTAATCTAAGCTAAATAAGTTTATCATCACAGCTAAAGAAAAGTACAACATGCGAAATTTATGCGCGACAGACATCTGCGTGACATTATTGTTTGTGTGGTTGTCTAATGAAAAATGGTTCTCTCATAAAAAAGTTTTTTTGTTGTTGATAGAATTAATTACAATAGTTAGCTAGAAAAGGATTTTTTTTATTCTTTCGTGTAATAATCACACTTTCTCTCTCCTTCTCTCTCTCTCTCTCTCTCTCTCTCTCTCTCGCTCTCTCGTGAAAAATTGAATGATTTGGAAAAACTAATGACTTTTTCACAACACAAAAATAGAGCAGAAAGTGAATGATTATATAGTAGTAAAAATAGTTTTTTGCACTTGGAAATGTACTTCTCATCAGGAGGATGGAAATGAATTTGTTTTCTCTCATAATTTTGTTGTTTTTGCTTTATTCCATTATTTTTGTTTCTTTACAAAATAATCTCTATAACTTTCTTATTCAATTCTTTATTTTCCAAGTTACAAACGACTTAATGGAGAGAGAAGAAAATAGAAGGGAAGAAATGAAATTACTATATCGAAAACAGGGGGAAAACTAGTTCAAAATTCATAATGAAGGCAAATAAAAAAAATATATATATTTAGATGAAAAACAATCAAAAAAATAGCCAATCACTGTACGTCTAAAATACATGTTTCATTTTTTTCTGTTGTTTTTGTGTGTTTAATTCTTCGGTTTTCGTTTCAAACGGTTGTTGGTGTGTTTTTTCTTTCTTCTAAGATGGTACGTTTATTTGGTGTGTGTGTGTGTGTGTGTGTGTGCAGCTGATGCATATCATCAGCTTTTATTTTTCTTTCTGAATGAGTGGTAAAAAACCGTCGGTTTTACATTCAACAGGAATAAATACAAATCAAAACGAGGCGTGTGGAAAACTAACAAATTAAAAAAAACACTTTATGATTCGCCTTTCAGTCGCTTCGTAAATTCTTCCTGTTGTTTCTCCTTCCATTCGTCTTTCGGTTTGTTTCGTTTGAGGTTACCATCCCAACTGAGATCGACTAGGCCACCCTGTTCAGCGATCACACCCTTTACCCGGTTCGCAAATACTATGGCCGATTCATCCTCTTGCTGGTACATCGGCGGCAAATACCATACATCACACACGATTGCCCACGATGTCATCATCAAAAACAAATACTGCATCATTGAATACTTTGAACTATTCCAAAATGGATCACCGAATCGCGGATCATATCTAAAATCATTAAAAAAAATGAATAGCATCATTAGGTTTGACATTGGCTGGAGGAAAATTGGGTTCGAGGTGATTTATGGTGGCAGTTAGACATCATTTTCCGTATATTCATCATATGTGCTAGCGATTCGAGATATAGTTTTTTCTTAGATATTTATCCGTACTCATCGTTGAATCATCGGGTTTTTCTTTCAATCGAAACGTTTGAATCCTCCAACGGAGTTTACTTTTGCAATCAGACTTTTATCCATTCCTTTTTCATCAAACCGAGTTTTTTTCTCTCCTTCAACAAGTGACTCGTTTGATCTACCTAACTAATCATCTGAACCTTTGATCAATCTATCTAATCAATCTAAATTGGAATTTTTTTCAAATTTATTTCACCTATGATCGATCGTTTACTAAAGAACTAAAAAAGAAACACCCCCGTTGAACCATCGATAGAGTAGGTTCCCCAATTGCGAGCACATACGAATACAGAAAACGAATAGATGCCATCATCATCGGTCTTACTTGATAGCAACCGGATAAATAACACCACCGACTTCAAAACTGCCCTTTTTAAATTGCATCACCGATGTATTGTTGATACATGTGCCCTCTGGGAAGATGAGAATCGGTGGGTTGTTTGGATCCGAAACGTGTTGACGCAATCTTTGTGCAACGGCCATTCGATCTTTCGATTCGGCGCGTTCGAACCAAATGTGCGGTGAGGCACGTGCCAATGCACGCTGCAACAGGCCCAAGAATCCACCATGTCGCTGACCAATCTTCATTGATAGTAAGAGAGTTTCGAAGAAAAAAAAAATCAAACGTAAAAAAATCACACACGAAAAAAAGAAGAAAAAAGAAAAAGAAAAATAAATACATTACATCACTAAAAAAAAAATGGTAAAAAAAAATTCAAACTTATTTGCAAAAGACACACATTTCACCAAGTGGGACAAAAAAAACAAACTCAATATGGATCAATGAATTATTATTGGATGAATGATATTGACTCAGAGAAATAAAGCCATACTCATTATTTTTTGGTTTATTTTTTTTTAAATAATTGCAAAAACCAATAATCCGTTGTACAGATTTACATTTTCGATATGTTATCAATATGTTATTGCCCGACATATTTATTATTATGTTATGTTGGGATTTTTTTTATCTTAATAACGTTATTAAGATTCAGCATATTAATAACATAATATGTTATGCGTTATATCGGGTGTTATCTTAATAAATCCTAAGATTCGGCGGTAATAACATTTTATTAATTATAATAATAACATATTATTAAGATGGATTTATTAACTGAATTAATAACATATTATTAGGTTTGGATTTTATTAATTCAATTAATAACATATTATTAAGATGCAATCTTAATAACGCTTTTTTCGCGCATTCTTTTCCCTAGCTGGAGAGAAAAAAAAGCACTGTACGATGTACACACCCATAACAATGCAGACAAAATATGGTAAATTGATCCTTTCAAGGTCGGGACTGGCAATTTCCTAAACTTAATGGTTAAGTTCAATACATGATAATTCCGTTTCAAAGAGTCATTTTAAATTCATTGCAACAGTGCAAAAAATTCACGTGTGTACTCCGCAGAGAAAAAACAACTTGTCAGTGCTCCGGCGAAAGAAATGCGCGAAAAAAGCGTTATTAAGATTGTATCTTAATAATATGTTATTAATTGAGTTAATAAATCCATCTTAATAATATGTTATTATTATAGTTAATAAAATGTTATTACCGCCGAATCTTAGGATTTATTAAGATAACACCCTATATAACGCATAACATATTATGTTATTATTTTGCTGAATCTTAATAACGTTATTATTATGTTATGTTGGACCAATATATCGGCCGTTATTATTATGTTATCAAGTATAGTTAATAATATGTTATTGCCTGTAAATCTGTAATCCGTTGAAAGAAATTATAATCGGTAATTTGTTGGAAATTATAAAAAAAAACAAAACAAAAATAAATAAAAGAAAAATGTTTGTTTTGAGGGAACGAAAAGAAAAAAAACAGAAATTCACACAGCAAAAAATGGCTTTATCTCTCTTGCATCCATTTACTTACCAATGAATAGCAATTGTCGCACATTAAAACGAGAACGTCGATTGGACTCGTGTGATTTGCCACGCAAATGCCAGTTTTACCTGGTCTATTTTGAATATCATGATAATTGATGACGGCTGACAAAGCACTGGACAGAAACACAAAGCAATGTATCAACACGTTATGGACCATTTTTCGTTTTGTATCACCGTCTGGTAAAAATCCCACAGCTGCTGTGCATATTGTTAACCAAAGAACCTGTACACCATGACACCAAGAGTACATGTACAACAAATACAAATATAGATAATGTTCGATAATGGATTTTTTTTCTGTTGTTGAGTTTTTTTTTTGTCTTTTGTTTCGTTTTGTTCTGCGCATTGTCTTGTTGCTCAACGAAAATGAATTGAGATGAGCGATTTTGAATCGAATTGTTTGGTTTTGTTGTTCTTGAAATATGAGTGTCGAACTTTGTATGTGGTTCGTTCAATTGACCGTATGCAATCATCCCACCAAAAATAAAAAATCAAAATTAATGCCATTCCGCCAAATCTAGTCAGAAACATACATAAACACACAAAATGTGAATAGCCATAATGCCCCCGGAGAATTAAAAAAAAATGTGCATATTGTTTGTTGTTTTGGTTTTGTTTTTTGGTTGTCTGATTTTCTCACCAACGAATAGGTGCAATCGGCACCCAGAATGGCCACATCCATAGGCGAAGTGTGGTTTGCCACACAGAATCCGGAGCTGTTCGGACGATACTGCGTATTGTGAAACGTTACCACAGCGGACAATGGTCGACACATCAATCGAAATGCCACTTTGAACAGCACATCGTTTACACACTTTCGGAGCCTAGCATTCGGTATCGTTCCGATCAAAGTAAACACTACTATTGCCACATTCACCTATTTTTTTGTTTTGATTTGTGAGAAATTTTGGTTCTCATTCAATTCAATTTGAATAATTTTTATATGTATTCATTTTATATTTTAAAATTTAATTTTTTTTTCAATTTGAATTTGATCATTTTTTCCTATTTTTTTTTCTTCTGAATTTTGACTCCAAAATTTTCAAGATTCTGACTGCATTAAACAAAAACACAAAGAAAAACTGCAAATTTCGATGTAAAATCGATGTGTAACTTACCCCAACGAAACAGATGATCACTCTGAATGGCATTAAAATGAAATAACGAATAAAAAATCCAATGAACCAAATGATACTAAGGCGCCACGATATGAATTCATGATAACGATTGGTTCGCGTCAATAAATTCCAATTTTTAAGCTCTTCCGCTTCGAATCGAGATGTCACTTCATCTTCGATTATCGCTTCTACACCCGATCTGATGTAACCGAGACATGTGGCCAAATGAAAATCAACCGGGTGATCCGTCTAGATAGAGAAAATGTCAAATTAGGTAAAAATCATTGCGTAGCCAATTTGGATTAAAAAAAAATGTTGAATGTTGCATTCTAACGAAAGTACAATCGAAAAGGCAGAGAAAAAATGTCAAAGAAAAAGAAAAACTTGAAAATGAATTCCATCTATTTACTTCTGTGTCACTATTTTCATTATCACTGCCTCTTGGCGTTCGAACAAATGTGAATCCATCGGTGTTTTGTACACCGTGTGGCACTAGAATGAGCGCATCATCGCGACTTATCACTGTGTTTCCATTGGAATTATGCTTTTTATGCGATTTTCGTTTGGCTGGCTTCAATTCGGCTGGTGGTAATGGCTTTTTGAACTCTCCACTTGGATCGAATGATTGATCCTTGCTCGTAGTAATGCCATCAACTGTGTCCGACGTATCGTCGGCGGTTCCGCTTACATTTCGCTCATCTTCCGAATCCAGTCGATTTATCAACGGATGCGTTTTCTTTCGCACATTTTCGATATTTTGACGGCCATACTGAAAATTGTATCGAAATAGAAAGTTAGTCACAATTTTAAACAAATATATTGAAAATATTTTTGAAAAAAATAATCAAATTAAAATTCTCGAATAAAACGTATCAAAATTGCTACGTAAAATTGAATAGAGAATAACAGCTGTTTTCTTTTCTCTAAAATATGTATGAAAACAAACAAATGCTCAACAACCGAATAAATATTTGCTGGAACGCAGTGAAATTTTTGTTTTAAAAAAAACCACGATAGAAAGAGAAAAAAATGTGTTCTTGATTGAATTCTCTCGCCAACGAACAAAAAAAAATCTAACACACTAACTCATTTTTTTTTTCTTCCTCTCTTCTTCCTTTTGTTAATTAGTCTTACAGCTCAATCTTTTTTTACTTGTTGCTCTATTGTTATAACTATTCAATCTATTGTATAAAAAACCTATTTAATTGTTATCGAATTTGGTCTTAATATAGAAAATGTATGGACTGGTCACTTGCAATTGTATCTCACCCGACATAAATGTAAATATTAATTGTATAATGAATAACGTCTTAAAAAGATGTGAGGTTTAACGGTGAGGCAAAACTCATACCTTCCCACCAAATACTTATGTATCATTAACATTGATTCTAAATAAATAAATAAATTACAGTTCGCCAGACGATCCAAATGGCAAAAATGCCCGTAAAAAGAGGAACTGTCACTCTCATTGAATCCATCACGCGTTGATATTCAAATGAGCCATAAAAATGTCTAGTTATTGTTGTTGTTGTTGTTGTTGTAGTTGGTCGGAATAAATTTGAATAATCACATGTGAAAATGCTGGTATTATCACACAAAATCCATTTGACGAACGACACAAAAATTTCTTTAATTGTGATTGTGATTGCTACTCTTGAATAATGCTCTGCTAATTTGTTTGTTGCTGTTGCTATTTTCAAGTTGTTTCCCTTGGTAGCGGCAAATTATAATTTCAATACATATTTTTTGTCGGTTTCGCCTGATAACCATGTTCGTGCAAAATTACCTATCTACCACATGAGTATCGATTGCGTTATTGTTATCGAATCCGGTTAACAAGTGAACGATGTATTTTCAAAAGGGCAACATACAATTTGATTGAATTGGTGTGTGATTGGACTTTTGTACTTAGCCCAAATTCTTCAATAATTTTTGATTATTGTTGCGGCCAAAGCGAATTTTTTTTCTCTATAGCGTTGATTCTAGTGACGTAATTCAACGCCTGTATGATTTTTCAACTCCTTTTGAAAGCAGTTAACGATTATTCATACGAAAAAAAGTCTCTTTTCTGCGCGACAGAAAAAAGCTGATCCGAGAGAAGAAATCTTGATGATCATGAACGAAGAGAAAGAATAAAAAAAAGGCGTGTTAATTGCTAAAACACAGCTAAAAATGAAGCTTTTACGATTAGACAACGACACATCGCAATTTTTTGTTGGCCGTTGTACAATTGCGACAAATGAATCGAGGATAAAAATGTGCCGACTCACTTGAACACATTATGGAATTGATAAAATGACGCGGTGTAATCTTGAGTAAGCAGATATTATGTAAAACCAAGTTGGGGGTAAAACGCACAACTCCACGCAATTCGTTTTCGAATAGTTGAAAAAATAATGCCGTGAAAAATATACGCGCTAAAAATGCATAAAATTGTAAAAAAAAAACGCAACGAATGATGCGATTACCAAAAATGAAAACGGAGGGTGGAACCGATCAATTCGTTTCTCTTTCTCAATGAAAACTTAGTAATCAAAACGAAATTGCGCGGTTAACATTCACACTCATGCACACTCACGCGAATATAAAATAGACGAGAAAAAAAACGTCGCCGATTAAGTAGCTGAGAAACAAGTTATAAGCAAAGTCAAAGTCAAGACCTTTTTCCTAATTATCGATCTCATGTGCGAGAGCACTGAGGTCTTTTTCGTTCTCACACAATTATATGTTTACGCGCGCACTGAAGGTTTTCTCTCGTTCGTTTTTCTCATCAAAAGAGAAAAAAAAAACTCCAAACAACAACAAAACAAATTATTCTCATAAAAACGCTACACAACCATATCGTTTCAATTTGTTTCGTGGTCTTGTGTTATTGAGCACTTGTTTTCACGCATAAAATGTGAACAATATTCACAAATTTGTTTAAAAAAAAAAATATTCCGACACACACGAACTCACACCAAATTGCACATACCTCGAATATTTGGAGTAAAACTTTGATATAAACCCTTCGAACGCCCAACGATATACCGATCGATGCAAAGAATACAATGCTCAATAGTCCAATCAGTACGGGAACATTAAACACAGCTGACAGAATTGCAAAGAACACCATCATCATGCTGCATCAAGGATGCCTACTCTCAAAGCTAGCTCGTGGCAGGCCAATTTATCACATACACAAAAACAACAGCAAATCTGTCGTTGCAAAATATTTGTCGTCGATGTTGACGTAATTGCGTCGTGTAGTCGTCTTTTCTTTCGCACTGTTGCTCTCTGCAATGTTTCTTTATCTTTCCACGTTAGATCAACACATTCGGTGTGGTGACTGCCGAAATAAAATAAAAAAACCCAGATGAAAATCACCTCCGACCAAATCTCTCGATCGACTCTGCAAGCAGAAAAACAAAAACAGATTATTTTTTTAACGTTAAATTTGACATTTAGCAACTTGTTTTGGTTCTTTTACAATATGGGCCGAAAAATTCGACTAGCAAACGAAAATAGAACAACAAAACTAGTTTTAATATTATTATGATGGCCATATATGTGACTCCAGTTCCAGCAGTGTTTTGTTTTTCACGTTATGTATTTTAAAATAGCCGAGATTTGTTTGCAATCATCCTGTCAATGAATTCTTTCGATGCTGTCGAACTCACGTTTGACTCTCTCTCTCTCTCTCTCTCTCTCTCTCTCTCTCTGTATACAAACACAAACACTGACCTATTTTGGTTGATTGTTGTGTTATTTGTCTTTTTTTCGGTGACACAGGACAGGGCAGTGTGAAAAAATGAAGAGAAAAAAAAACCGCGGATGCATCAAACGACAGGGCAGCATGTACCGAGAAAAAAGAATCTCGTTATTTATAATCGAATAGCAAATAGAATGCGATTAGTGTTGCTATGGTTCACTGCTCCAATCGGAATGTCGGAATAGAATGTGTGTACAATCTCTAATTCCTCACGAATTTCACACTCACAACAAAACGCTTTTTTACTGTCACACTCTCTCGTTCGAGTGAAATCGCCCGAATTTGCACTTTCTTGACGGCTTTCAGTTGTTCATTGTTTCGGTTCGATGACAGAAAACAAAAACAGATAGACTATAATGAATTAACTCGTGTCCATGTGCAAACTATGACTGGAGTTGTCAACCATGAAACAAAATGACCTTAGATCTAATTTTGTTTTACTTCAAATTGCTTGCCTTATCTAGGTACTTACGATTTGATTTTTTACTTTTTTTTTGAAATACTTTTTTCGGTTTTTCTGTATCTGTAGCTTTATTTTATTCGTCGCTGTCGATTCGCGTTCTTGATTTTACACTGAGGTGGTTCAGCCGATGAATTTGTAGCTTCTTTTTTTTTTTTTAAATTCAAACTGCAATTTGATTTGTTGTGTCGAATTCAATGTGCAATTTTAGATTTGTATCGGCAATTGCAATTTATTCACCAAATCTGCACACAATTTTTGATTGTTTAGTTTGTAAAACATTTTCTTCTCGTCACAATGAACATGCACATGGAAACACTGCAAGCACTGACTTTTCTTTTCCATCAACACGATGGGAGTGTGGATCGCAGTCAAGAATTTTTTTTTTTTCTTCTCTTCTACTTCGTTTCTTCTTCGGTGTTTCACTGTTATTTTTGTGTGTTGTTTCGTTGTTTCGTCTTCACTTTTCCGTCTCTCGTTTCTTTTTTTTTTGTTACAGTGTTCTTTTTCACTGTGTTGAGTGTACGAGTGTTGATTTCGTTATTAACTTCGTTGAAAGTGCGTTCAATATTACTCACTTTACCGATACATACAGCTCTCTCAACACATTTCAGAACACGTAACATTGAATGATTCGCAAACAATCAACAAATTGATGACGAACGCGCGCGCGAGAGAGCAGGACAGAGACGATTCGTATATCGAAATAATTCATATATACGTGTATTCACGCATTGATAGAGAAGAAGACGAATGAAAAAAGCAGCACACACACTTTTGGCTGACACACGGGTCCTTCAAATTTCGATCTCACAAACCGTTTACTACGACGTTAGCGTCAGAAAGAGAACACGACGTAAAAGTGTGTGCGTGCATATAAGCATTGTGTTAGCATTTTGTGCGCGAAACTGTCATTGTCTACAAAAGCATGACATGGAATTTAAGCCTAATGAATGGCCTATTCACACGAACAACCAACGTATTCTTTTTAGTTTCATTTAATCGCCCAGATTGATTGCCATGTAATCATTTTCGATTGAAAACCGAAATTACCACTTGACCTATGCCTTTTTGGTATGATTTTATGTAAAAATTCAATAATTCAATTGTTGTGCTGAGTTCGTGACATAGTCACGCGGGACATATTGCACAGCACCATCTACATGTACACAAGGCGATTTGTGTGTTATGTTACTCGTTGACAGCTGCTGTCAAATCACACACGAATAAACACATTTCAAGCAAATCACACGTGCGGATTTTATTGAGTCTATGGATCAAACTGTTGATTATTAGGGAGCACCGAATGTTGGTTTCAATTCACAAAGGATAGTGTGTAATTGTGCAAATAAGTTGATAATAGCTCGTTGGATTTTGCCGAAAATATGTCGGATCAAAACGATAGTGATGGAGAGGACTATAATCCAAAGGCACACAAGAAATTGTTAGCCGGTGTATCGTCGCTGCATAAGGGCCAGTTCATTAAGACAGCAACACGAGATGAGCCAGTACTCAAAAGAGACGAATTTAATCTGGTGAAACCGGCCGCAAGCAGTGACAAACCGACGAAAAAGGCCAAAGTCGATGTGAATGACCTGGTGAATGTACTAGATAAAACCAGTAAACATCTCCAATTGGGCAAAGCGCTCAAGAAAACCGCTGATAAGAAGAAAGTTTTGCCAGTGCCACTGCAAAAACCAGCCGCGGAAAAACTTCAACGCGCCATCAACTATGAAAAGACCAAGGAAAAACTTGAGCGTTGGGATGCGGTTGTAGCGAAAAATCGATCCGCTGATCATTTGGTAGGTGATTTTGCGTAAATTTGATGCGTTCGATTGATTTTTTTTCCCTGATGTCTTCCAATAGTTATTTGTTGACCCTAGCTAGATTGTTCGCTTAATTTTTTTTCCATTTGTTCTTCCACAGTCGTTCCCGTTGCATCAAGAAGCCAATGACCTAAAGTTGAAAGATAACGTGCAGGTGCCATCCAAATTCCGCGTCAAATCGGAAATGATGCTTGAGATGGAGAAAATCGAACCGGAAGTCTTTCAAATTGGCAAACCGCAGGAAGAAGATGAGGAAGAGGAGCCAAAATTGACGCGTGAAGAATTGATTGAGCGTTCACGTGAATTACGTCAATTACGAATTAAAGAATCACAACGAAGTATCAAGGCTTATCATCAGAATAAAATCAAGAGTAAAAAGTACCATCGAATTTTGAAGAAAGAGAAAATGCGGCAGCAAATCAAAGAGTTTGAATTGCTGCAAAAAACTGATCCAGAGGCGGCACTTCGTAAAATCGAACAGTTGGACCGTAGTCGAATCGAAGAAAGAGGGTTGCTTCGCCATCGTAACACCGGCACTTGGGCAAAAAATCTTGCCGTTCGCGCAAAATACGATAAAGATGCTCGTAAAGATCTTGCTGAACAGATTGCGATTAGCCGTGAACTGACGGCAAAGAAGAATATTGATGAATCAGACGATGAAGCTGAAGAGGCAATGGCTGATGTTAGTGATGCCGATGATCCATTCAATCCATGGTTGACAGCTGGCAAAGCGAATGGCGCCGGTAACAATGAAATCGGCGAATTTATGAGCGGCTATCGCAAATATTGGCAAGAGCGTAATGAAAATGAGAAGGAATTGGCTGATTATAAGGCAAGTGATGTGCCAGAAAACGATAGGGATGAAGAAACACTGGCAGAAAATAGCAATAGCGAAGAAGAGGCAGATGAAGAGATTTCAAGTGAAAAGACTAAAATTTCTAGTAAGAAAACGAAAAGCGCTAGGCTCAAAACAAAATTAGGTAAAAAATCTAAAGTGAACGCTGGCTGGATCGAAGAAGACATATCCGAAGCGTCAAAACCAATTACGAAAAAGAAGAAGAAAGAAAAATTAGGCAAAAAAGAGAAGAAGAAAGCGCAAATAGTTGATAATATTGATGATTTGTTCGATGATGCCGAGGATGCGCTCAGAGAAAAGGGTCGGAAAGTGTACGAAAAAGTGAAGTCAAACTTGGCAGCAAGGAAAAATAACAAGAAGAAGACAACAACGACGGAGGAGAGTGATGATGGAGCGGAAAATGAGAGCGAACGAATTGATTTGCGTTTCAAAAAACAAAATCAGCGTGCACAGGAAGATGAAGCATTGAATGGCGATGGTGATGACAGCGAAAATTTGTTGTCCAAACGAATCACAAATGCACTTAATTCAATTACGTCAAATGGCCGTTCGGGGACACAAGCGACTAATGGAAATTATGAGTCGGAGAACATAAATCCAAATGATATTGCTAAAGTGAAACCGCAACATTTATCCACCGCATTGCCAGACACTGTGTACAGTGTCGCCGATGACGGCTATAATGAGTATGACGATGACTATCATTTCGATGAGGAGAAAAAGATGACCATTGCCGAGGCGTTCGAAGATGATGACATTGTGGCGGAGTTCAAGCGTGAAAAAGACGAAGAGGCGAAAAAGAATGACACACAAGAAATCGATTTGTCAATGCCGGGATGGGGCTCATGGGGTGGCACCGGTATCGATCCAACCAAACAGAAAACCAAACGCAAATTGGTGTTACGTAAGTTTTTTGTTTCATGGGTTTTTAAATCAAAAATGCTTATTCAATGATTTAAAAAATTGTAAAAACATCCAAAAATTGAAAACTCAAAAAACAAAATACAAATATTTTCTTGGTACTTTTTGCAGGTTTCCCAGCACCAGAAAAACGACGTGTCGATAATCAGGGTAATCTAGTCATCATCGAGAATCGAGACGAAAAACTGCAAAAGCATCTGGTAGCAAACTTACCATTCCCATTCACAAGTGTTGATGATTACGAGAAGTCGATTCGTGTTCCGATCGGCAAAGATTTCGTACCGGCCACAGCGAATCGAGTACTCACTAAACCAGCAGTCATCACAAAGGCCGGCACAATCATTGAACCAATGAACGAAAATCAATTGGTCAACAAACAGAAGAAACGACCCACGAAAACCGATCGACGTATCGCCAAAATAGTAACATAGCTATGCGATATAATCATTCTTTTCGAGAAACATTTAATAAAAACAACAGTTATATTTTTAATTAATTGAAAACTAATGATGTTTGATTTGTTTTTGATTTGTTCGGTATAGATAATCTTGGGACTGGAAGTAAACAATTCGAATAATTTTTTACTTTTCAAAAATTGACCATGATTTTATTTTGGTTTTTATCCTTTCTTAAGAGTTAAGAGTAAAATATAATATATTTTTTGCAAACCAAACGCATTTTTTGGATCACAGTTTCTGTTCAATGGGATCAGTCGGATCAGACACAAATAGTGTCTATGAATAAATCATCGAATTGTTTAGATGAAATATTCTTGCTCAATTGGTTTATGACAATTTCGAGTTTTTATGAGTATTCTGCGGTATATTTAACAGAGATAAGTCGCCGAACCTAACTCTCAACTGTCAACTATCTTGTTCTATTGCTTGATCAGAGTCATTGAAAAATATAAGGAGATTGAGATTGAAAATATTTGTAAAAAAAAAAACTTTTTTCCACATATGGTAATATTTTGTGAAATAATTTTTATTCCATGGAATATAAAGTAATTTTAAATTCAAAATTTTCGAGAAAAAATAAACAAGTGCCCGGAACGAAAAAAAAATAAGAGCGAAATGGTGTTCTTGCTAATATTCATATTATTTCACAGTTTTTGTTGTGTTTTGAATTGTGCGCACGTTTGCTATCTGTGTCTAGCCGTATGAATTAAAGAGTGATGGCCAAGCCAAGCCAAGCCAAGCCAAGCCAAGCCATTTGGAGATAGCACTTTCCTTTTATGCAAATAGATTTTCAACGATTCTTTAGAAAATTTTCAGATAATTTCATGGAGAATTTGCAAAGTTTTTCCGATTTCCAAGGAAAAATCACGTTATCGTTTAAAATTGAAGATCAAAATTTTTACTGAATCTTCCATCGTAATCACCCGACTCTCAAAACAAAAATTGATTTATTCATAAGAAAAATGCAACATATTCAGAGAAAAAGTAATTTCGGTCAAAATTTGTGAACTTAAATTAGAATGACATTTTATCGGAAAGTTAGCACAAAAAATCCTTTTCTCGCTTTTGAAAATCCCACAAACAATAAATATGTTTAAATTAGTGTAACCCATTCGAAAGTTCATCCAATTATACTTCAAAGAAATTAATTTGTTCAAAATTTGGATAATTAATTTATTTCTCTACTTTTCCTCCACATTCATCCGCTCACTCCGTTTTTTCAATGGCTTTATTCGCACGAAAATCAAATCATTTACTAAAAAAGTAAATGTTACGAACGGAAAATAGTTTTTAAACACCATTTCGAAGCGAATAATTATTTCGTAAAAGTAGTAATTATTTTCAATTTTCATGATTTTTCGTAAAATTCCCGCTAAAACTGTTCAAGCCTCTCCAATTCTCATACATTCCCATAGAAGGGCAAATTCAAGCATTTGATGATATGGTTAACGGTAATATGGATGCACGTTATGCGCATGAACCATAACAGCTACATACAAAAAAGCTCTTTTTGTCAACGTATGAGAGTGTTTATGTGTGAGAGCTGAAGATGTGTGAGTGCTAAGCGGGGTTTTAATTATCCAGGATTCTATACACAAATGTCATGAATTTCAGTTCGAGTGTGTTTGTGATGTGCCTAATACATACTTGTATTGATTAATAAAAAAAAATGCAAAAATATGCTCACGTTTGCTTTACTACAAACTTTTCCCCTAATATGTGTCTCTAAAATGGTAAACCAGTGAAGTGAAAAAGCAGCCACCAGTGTTCAAACATCGCAAACCCCAACACTAACACATATACACAACGTACAGAGCCAAGCATTTACAATATACTACATATACGAATATATTTATTTGACTTACTTTACGTGAAAAAAAGCTACAACAAAATCGATTTGTCTCTACTTCGAACGGGGTACGACATTTTCTGTGGTAAGTTTTGCACCTTTTTTTTAATTTATCCGAAATGAAATTAAAATCAAATTTTGAATTAAAAATCACAGTTAGTTTATTGAAAGTGAGTATTTTGGCAACGATTTATCGGTGGATGGTTTGAAAAGATTTATGTGAAATTGGTGTTAATTTTTCCGATAGGAAAATCACGAGACAGTGTGTGGACGAACTACAATATCGAATAGTAGGAAAATCAATCAGTTATCTAACGAGGAATAATCGTGTCTCGTTTGATGTATGCCAAATGAGCGTACATGAAAGAGAGAATCAGTGAAATGGAAAATCGTTTTAATTGAAATAGAATGAGAAAAATGCCGAACTTATTTTATTTTCGGTGGTTTTTTTTTCAATTATATATCCGAATTTAGAAGTTTTTACTTTGAAAGTCCTGAACAAAAAGAGAAACATGTATTTTTGATAGGATAAACGTGAGTTTTTTCTCTTCATAAACAAATTAATGAATCTTACAAAAAAATTCGAATTTCAAAACTTTTTTCGGAAAATCAACATTAACCAAATGAAATAGAATACTTGATTCACCCACTAGCACCACAATCGACTATCATTAGCCTTACGCATAGAATTCGTGATATGAAATAATGATAACATCCGGAGCACTCGGAGTGAAATTTACTATCGAAATTGTAATTAGCGTAGAATTAGCGAGGCGAAACGTAAGAGCCGTTTTGTACAGATATTAATGAATGACATGGGGGAGCGAACACGCAGAGAGAGATTTTAAAAAAATGTCGCCAAGCAACGCATTCAATCCAAAAAGCTTATTCAAGTTGTTTTTTTTTTGATAAAATATTGAATGAGAAAGAAAATACCTGTCCTGAGCCTTTTCTAAACGAAGCTTTTCAAGTGCATGCTTGATGACATTATGTATGGTGTAGACGGAAAATAAGTCGTCTTGTAATGGGTCAAGTGGACACATTCATGAGTTTGTCGTTTTCTTTTTCCATTTTTTTCTCTTTTCTGCAGGTGCAGTTGCATTTCCGAAATTATTTCAGTGAACCAACGAAAAAAAAGAGAGTAAAGTGCAAATAGGTAGGAGAATAGCAAATAGGCGACACATACACACACCGACCGACTGATAGTGCAGCAGTTATTCGTGCAAACTTTTCGTTTAATCAAACGAAAGAAGAAGAAAAAAAACCAACCAGCCCAACAAGAATTATTTGATTTTCCCGAGGTGCGTTTATGCAAAAAACATGCAGCCATTTGAAAATAACGAAAACGAAGGATACGATTACGATCCAAAACAAAGGCCTCCGCCACAGAAGTTTCATGTTCGGCCCCGCGTTGATCCCGAGGCTGAGGGTGAAGTTGATCCAGAAGCGTAAGTATCAATGGATTTTTCCTATTGATTCAGTTCAATCGGATGTTCTTATCACCCTCTTTCTCATTCTCACTATCCCTTGCTCTCTCTTTCTCTGTGTCATGAAATTGTGTGCAAAATTTGTGATTCACGACAACAACAAAAAAAAAATCAGGTACCCACAACCAAAGGAATCAACGCATAAAATTCGAGGACGTGCTGATATAATCGAAATGATTTTCGGTGCCGTTGATCAGGAGCTGCTTTTTGTGAAAACGTTTTATTTCTTCTTCTACTCGGCATTCGGTTCCCTGTTCCCGTTGATGGGTGTTTATTTTAAGCAAATGGGTATGAATCCGCTGCAGGGTGGATTTTTGATTGGATGTCGGCCGTTCGTGGAGTTTTTATCGGCGCCATTCTGGGGCTCATACGCCGATCGGTAAGTGCTGTTTGTTTTCACTTTCTCCATCCCCTTTCGCCTTTTGCTCTCGTTTGGCATTCTGAGTAAACACTCTCGATGAAAAGAGCAATATTCTGTAAGAAGGCTTGAGAGTTCTCACGTTTCATTTGAATGGGAAAACCGGTCAAATGGCTGTTTGTGAACACACAGCTATTTTAATGGTTGCTTTTCAAATGTTACAAATGAATTTGATTACATGGAAAATTGATATACATCTCTCTCTCTCTCTCCTTTTCTCTATCTCTTTAATTTGGAAATGGGATATTCTTCTACACATGCACACATACATACATACATACACATGCTAACATTGATGCAGCTGTAAAAAGGGAAAAATGCTTTTGCTCGCCTCGTTGACGTCATGGATTCTGTTTACGCTACCCATTGGATTTATTCAGCCACCGGCGACGAGTTGCGTTCAGGCCTACAATTCCACGTCATTCCAATTGATTGAGCCGCAAGTGACATCACCGCGTATCCATAAACGTTCCATAGGCAATGCACCAGCCGATGCATTAGGTGAATTGAGCGAAGCATTGGCAACGTTCGACAACAACAATAACAACAATACAGTGAAACGTACACGACGTGATGCTCCATGGGTTGATGCTGGCATATCCCCAATTGCCGTGAACTATGCAACCAATTACAATGTGAAAAAGCACAAAAACTGGGTATCACCACTGTTCTCTTCCATTGTGTACACATACGATGACATTCAGAAAGCGTTCTTCTTGCTGTTCCTGTTAATTGTGATCGGTGAATTTTTCAGTGCACCGGCAATCACATTGGCCGATTCGGCAGTTATTACGTTGCTTGGTGACAATGCCGATAAATACGGGCATCAACGTATGTTTGGTTCATTGGGCTGGGGTTTGGCGATGTTTTTTGTCGGCATTGCGTTGGATCATTCGACCGCATTCCCAAGCCATCCATGCGGACCGGAAAAACAAGAGAAAAACTATGCCATTTGTTTTGCCACATTCTCCGTGCTGATGGGCGCCGCTCTGTTGACCGCTACTCAAATCACATTCAAGTATGATGAATCCGGTGATTCGGATGCGGCCGAAAAAGCGCCCGAACAGAAAACATCGTACGAAGACGATGAAATGCAAAATCAATTGGCCGAACAATTACAGTTGCCATCATTGGCGGCTGGACCGCGTGAACCAGTACATGCGCAAGCGCCACCTGCACTTGGCGCTCAAACGAAAATGTTTGCGCAAACCACACGTGAAATTCCCGAATGGGTTACTATCATCAGTCATTTCAAAGACTTGAAACGTGCCTCATTTTTATTTGTTGCTTTTTTCATGGGTTTCGGCATCGGACTTATATTCACATTTCTATTTTGGCATCTACAAGATTATGGCGGCTCGCCAACATTGTTTGGCGTTGCGTCAGTCATCAATCACATATCGGAAATTTTCGCCTACTTCTTTAGTTTTCGGTTAATCACACAAATTGGACATGTCAAAGTGAGTTTGCTCCCATTATTACCGATACCATTCTCTCCTGCAATCTAGACAAATTGATACATGAATACGTTTTTTGTTGTGCTTACAGGTATTATGTCTTGGACTGATTGGAAATATTTTACGATTTTTGTACATCTCCTATTTGACAAACCCATGGTATGTTTTACCATTCGAATTTATGCAAGGAATTACTCATGCTGCTGTTTGGGCCGCTTGTTGTTCGTACATTTCACACAGTACACCACCACACCTTCGCTCATCGGCTCAAGGTGTATTGCAAGGACTTCATCATGGTAAGCGACACCGTGGAAAGTTTGAGTTCATTTTGTTCGTTCACATTTCGTTTTTGCGATGGTTTAAGCTCATCTCTTCTACGTTGTATTCAAAACTAGTTTCATGGTTGATTCGAAGATTAAAATGAAGTGTGTTTGTCAAACAGGTTTGGGCCGTGGTTGTGGTGCGGTATTTGGAGGTTTCTTCGTTCGTTACTTGGGAACAACGGCTACCTTCCGTGGATATGGTAAGTTGAAATATTTTGCCATAAAACATATCGAGCATATTTTTTTGGACACGATCCTTCCTGAATTTTGCCCATGAACTTTCCCAAACTCTTGATTTTACCACTTACAATTGATATTCCATTTCAGGTATCATATGCATGTTCATATTGGGTGCATTCATATTCATCAACTTCTACCACAAAGAGCATGGTTTCATCACTGAGATTCCACAGAGCGAAGATCCTCACAAGGTATGAACATAATGAATCCAAAATTTCATCGTGATCTTTGATATTCTGTTCGAATCCACGGAAAAATCAAATAATTTTCATCAGTTCGAAAAGTTTTTTTTTATAATGTTTTATCAATTGAAAAGAAGAATTTTTCTGTTAGATAAGTAATTGAGTGGAATTGATGTAGTCGCCATTTGCCACTCGTAATGTTCAACGTACGATTTTCATTTCGATGTAATTTCCCGTCTCGTCTCTTATCAAAATAATGCCATGTCCACTTGCTTAAATTTCAGGTGGCCGAAGAAACTTCACATTTGGCACCGCACGGTGTACCATCAAATCCAATACCGCGAGCGTTATCAAGTTCCCGCTTGAATGATTTGCAAAATCAAAATGGTGAAACCTATGGTACTTATCAAACAAGTGCCGGTGGCAATCTGGATATTCCTGGCGGCACAAGAAATCCATTCCAAAAGTAAATTGCATTATCAGCAGCTGTGGATTTCCTAAATCCAAAATGATTTTAAAGAAAATGCAAAAGAATGGAAGCAAACAGCAACAGTAACATATTTAATATTATACATATGAACATAAACAAAAACAAGAAAAATTTGGTTCCACTATGCCGAACAAAAGGTTCCTTCAGAAACTGTTTAGCTATTCAAATGAAACAGAAACAGAAACACACACATACACAAAACTATATATACACATATATATATATATATATATATACTGAAATCAATGAACATAATCATTATTTAATATTCGAGCCAGAACATTTTTAAAGCTAGAAAATCTACACAAAACGCAACGTTCAAAATGAACCGAACCCATAGTGAGAGATAATAGTGAGATATTTTCCGGGTAGAGAGAGAGAGAGAGAGAGAGAGAGAGAGAGAGGTGCGAAAATATTTCATTCAGCGCAAGAGAGAAGACGTGCATCTAGTAAATCACTTAGTTGAATGGCACAATTACAATTTAAGCCTAGGATTAACGTGGAAAACAAGTGTGTGTCCGTGAGATTGAGAGAAAAAGAAAGAAAAAGCCACATGGCTAAACGAGCACACGATATCAAGTAAAATGGATTCAAATCAGCCTCCTCACAAAAAAAAAAGACCTAAGTTTAGTAGCAAACAAAAAAAAAGCCATGGAAAATTTCAGCGCAACAGTTACACACATACACACAGAGTTCAGAGATTTATGATGTGGGAGGCTTGACATTTAGCATTGTTTGCACTCAGAATACGTATATCTTTCATATATTTACACTTTTATTCGTATCATTTTCATGGGGTGTTTATACCAAATTGATTTGTTAGTCACGTAAATCTGCATTCGCGATACGACCATTTTTGTCTCATCTGTCGCAGCAGTTAATGCAAACCAATTGAGTGGTGTTAACGCGCATAATAGGCCGTAATTGTGAACAATTCAAATTTATTTGACTGTTTGAAACACCAATTACTAATTTACTCTTGCGGCAGATAGGAAAATTGAAAGTGGAAACACAGGCAATGTTTTTACTCTGTATCCACTGTCAACCCGATTTCCATGTGCTACATTATGTTGCAGATTTACTGACTTTAACGAAAATGATAACATTTTTTAACTTAGTTCACTCACACACACACTCATACACTAACCCGCTGTGAAAAGTAGCGAAAATGCGCCCATGACTGAAGTATTAATATTGGCACATATTCTAATTCCTAAATTTTGAGAATGAAGGAAACAAAAAAAAAACCATTTGCACAATTTAGTTGTTTGCTTTGATTTCCAAAAATGAATTGGAAATTGAATAATTGGCAAAGTATATACGAATAACATTTTCTTTCGCTAAACGCTTTATTTTCAAAATCTCCTGATATAAATCTCAGAAGAAGAAAAAATCATTTTACCTCCAAATTAGGTTTGTTTGAATATGTTGTCGTGAATCAGAAAAAATGAACCGGGCGGCTCCACTTCTTGATGAACGAAAAGCCCACATAGAGCAAGTAATAGAAGCGAGTGATCAATTTGTGCTATTGATGGCTCAAAGAAATAGATGTAAAAGATCTTCATTCATTGATTCTTCCAAGTGTACATGAAATAACCAAAACAAAATACGCAAATTCAAAGAAGTTATTTCCCCTGTTGGGAAATGCTTTTTATTTTTAATCCCCAGCTTATTTAAGTAACCTCGGAGAAGAACACCAAAAACAGAAGCGACACGAATTCTTGATTCGAACATGGATGCGAAATAGCGAGATAAGAAATGAGAAAGTGGAGAAATAAATCTTAAACCTAGTACCTTTTCATTAAACGAAGAAGAAACGAAAACTGAACTATTGTTCGCGTAATAATGACATCCAAAAGAGTATTTACGAATAGGAAAACCACAACAAAAACAACAAAACACTCATCAAAAATGAACCATTAAGAATGATAGAGAGAAATCATGAATTTAAATGTATATGATATATAAACAAAAAAAACGTAGTTATTTATTTAGAACATTAAGAACTAAGAAAAAAAATCATGAAAAAAATCTCTTGTTGCTATTTACGATGCATTCGATGGCGCATAACCATCGAATTCATTATTCACAATCATCTAGATAACTTTGAAACAAAGGAAAAAAATTAGTAAAAAAAAATATAAACAAAAAAAAACTAATATGTAATGCAAGGGATAAAGCTCAAATCAGTAATCATATCGAACGATGCGATCTTTCGTACCACAATCGATATATATATTCTCTATGAATAGTAGGATATGAATTTACGTTATTGATAAGGGTATGGATAGAAACAAATGCATGGATTGCGATCAAAGAGATCGGTTTGATTCAGAATGAACACGAATTTTTATGAGACACACACACACATTCGTTCGTCATGACATCTCAACAAAACTTCTTTTTCATACATTTATCAGCTGTGAAAACTGCGATAGTTCCAAACTTTTTGAAGTGTTTTTACCAATTTAGCTGCTCCATCCCCAAACTAGCCCGTTTGTCAGACAATTTTTATTTTATACAAAATATGCACTTTTGCAAATAGACGAAATCGAAATCATATCATTGAGAGAAATGCCCAGATGCCCGGATGCCCGGAAAATGATCGAAATGGAGAAAGAATAAGAATAGCCGGGACAAAAAGAATAGCATCAAAATAACACACTAAAAATCATAAGAATAGCATCAAAATAGAAAAGTTTCTTCAAAAATAAAAACTATAAAGAAAATTTCAAAAAAGAAAAGATATGAAAAAAAATGGAAAATCGTGTTCATTTTATCAAATAATCGAGTCTTTTTGCCGCATCCATTTGAACGCTTATGGTCAAAAATATTTTCCTTAAATGGATACAGCTGCTCTTGAAGCCAGCTTCTGAAGAAGAAGACTCTCTTTGTTTCTTCGTCAAAGTATTGAAAGCAAAAAAAAAAAAGAAACTGACACTCCAACTGATGCCAAATTTGGCGGAAAATCTATTCGTTGAAACGAAAATGTTCGAGGCTAAAATGCTAAGCAAAAAAAAACAAACAAACACTACTCAACATCAAACGTTTATACTCTAAGTCAAAGCTGAGACAGACAACAACAAAAAATGAAGAAAAAAGAAATTTTGGTATTTTTTATGGTCTTCAAAAGTCTAAAATATGATTTAAAGAATACCAAATTGGGTGTCGAATGGAACATAAACCAGCATTTCAGATGATAACAACCATTGGGAACATCCACCGAACCAACGTCCAACGTGTTTAGTTTTCAATGCTTGGCATCATTTTTGTGCGTGTGCTGCCAATGCTTTCATTCAACATCCACCAAAAATATATTGAAATTATATATATATATATATATATATATATATGAAAATATATTTATTGATTTAAGAGTTATTTAGAATATATTATATTGAAATATCACAGTCATATCATTTAAAAAAAACGAATACCAAATAGATTTAACAACAACAACAAAACCTTCAAGAACAACATTTTCAAAGAGTTAAAACATTTACATTGAGTTGCAAAGATTGAAAGGTGAAATCCAAAAGGCTAACAACCGAATGTGTGTTTGAATATTATTGTGATCGATGTTTTTGTCTAATCACTGACCGAACCTGGGTCAGCGAATATGATTTATCATTTTAGCAACACATGTGTTGCACATTTTAAAATGAATTTTGAAGGAAAAAAGCAAAAAAAAGAGAAAATACATAAACATTGAAGACATCGAACAATCTTATGGTATTTTACTATGCAGATGTGTTTTTTTTGTGCACAAGCGTCGTCCAATTTTATTTCGACCGATTTACTTAGGCTTTATTGATTCGAAGTCAATTTCATTTCATATACAGTATAATTGAGAGACCAGTGCTAAAAAACACAGACAAACGGGTAGCAATTCCAATATGTTCTAAGAAATGTATATGCTTTTCAATGCTGACATTGAGTTTTTTGTCAAAAAAAAACTATTTTCGTTCAAACATGCAACAATCTTCTGTCTATTGGAGTTTAAATGATGTCTCAAATTTCAAAACGTTCCTTTTGTAAACTATGCTTTCTCAGCGACAATTTAAGTACTTTCGTTAATTTTGAATTCGAAATTTTTGGGACAGATTTTTTTTCATTCGTTCGGAATTACTCCATATTTACCCATTAAAACCTTTAAATGGTTCCATTAACCTGATTCCACCAGCAAATCCAAATCAAATCTGCAAACATTGCGTAAATCATTGTGATGGCATATCCTTTGTTTCATTTTGGTGACAGTCAAAGTGTTGCATGGACATGTCCTCTGGACGCGAGTCAAATGAAAAGTTGTGTCTTGAGCCAAAAAGCTTTTTATTCTTCTCTAAACGAAAAAAAAACAAACCAAAGTGAAAATACGTGCTGTTTAATTTTACTTGATTGCAAATATACAAATTTGTGGGCGAAAGAAAAAAAAATGCATAAAAAAGTCCTAATTTTTTTTTATCAATGTTGTTTAGGTTAAAAAAAATAATAACAAAATGTACATTTATTATGAACGTGACAAATGTGCGTGGGCAAGCGAATATACGAAGCAATTTTGCCAAGATACGAATTGTTCATTTATGTTGAAACTGTGTTTTCTATCAACATTTATTTGATATAATCCAATGAATCAATTGGTTAAGCAAAAAGCGGTTGGTGTCGATTGTAGCGTTACTCGTACTTCGCAAGCATATATTCAACATGTCCTTGATGTGATCACTTTTATTATAAAAACAATATCCGTTTGGAAAATAAGCCAAAACAGCAATCGAACAAAAAAATTTAACAAAAAAAACGATTTTGAGCAACATTTTCAAACCAAAATTTAACACATAAAATTTAAGCATTTATCCATTGCACCGAATGACGTAGATAAATGAAATTCACACATACGACATAGAAAAGAATGTGTTTATAAATCATTAATCAACTGTTGATTCATTTTGTATCACTGTTAATAAATATAAAACCGTTTTTAGAGTTCGGATTTAAAGAAAGAGTGAAAGAAAAACAAATGTGTTATCAAGAGAGATTAAATTATAGAGAAAGAGAAATCACATCGCCTCCTAAATTGCTACATTCTGTTTTCGTTTGTGTTAAGTGGTTTATTTCGCCGCAATTTTTACAGTTAATGCTTTGGATAGAGGCAATGTGTGAAACAACACAGATGTTTCCCTTCATTTAAAAAAAAAACTTAAATTAAATTCGCATTCACTTGGTTAAGTAGTCCTAACTTTTCTCCGATCTAAGATCTATGTCTGTTGTAAAAAAAAAAACCAAAAAACTATATGTTTCAAAATAAATTTTTTTGTCGGTGTTTTCTTTTCAATTTACCAAATCGCTTCGAATCTTTTCGATTCTTTCACATTGGAAAATTGGTTCAGGAAGAAACTGAAGTTGCAGAACTATGGCTTCTTAAGAAAGCACTTGAACTTATTCTTTGATGCTTTTTTCAGTTTTTCCAATTCACATTTGTTTTTTTTTTTTCGTTTAATTTCAATTCCCCTTGACTGTGTTTTTACTTTTCCATCTGCCTTTTCCTTAATCAAATTTCTACTTTTCACACTAAATTAGAATCTCTGATCACTTTCCATTCTTTTCCTTCCATTTCATACTAATTTTTCTTCACAGTTCTACTTCAAAACTCTTATCATTTTTCATATCCAAAATATTGAATGGCATAGATTTCTATGGAAATTCTTTAAAATTGTATTCAAATGCTCAAGACAAATGTTTAGTACTTGATGCAATAACAAGACGATATCTTTGAACAGACACTAGTGCATGGGTGTATCTATCAATAGTTTGGCATGAAAATTCGACTCACTGACAGCATTCCAGTGGTAAATCCAGTGGTTAAAGGTTAGTTACTGATATTTATCCAATTTTGACTTATGGTCTCTTACATCTTCGATTACTCACTTGTGAAAATAGTCGTGAAATTATCCCGTAAAATATGAAATTCCTGCTTTTCGGTTAAAGTGTGCGAATTTGACAGAAATCGTGTAACCAATTTACACAATTTTCGTCACATTTTACCGGGAATCCATGAACTTCATATTTTATCAGATTTTACTGGACAATTTCGCGGTTATTTCTAACAGTGCCTGTCTTCGATCCAATTTTTACGCACGTAAAATCGATGACCTGTCTAATTCAGCCCACACATGAATGGCACAAACCCCAATAGCGGCAAGTATCAAAGATATTTTCTATCAATAAAAAATGGCTCTTGTCGATTTTCTCCTTTGACAAAATGCTTTGATCAAATTGAACGAAGAAATTCTATTAACAATACATTGCCACTCTGTTTTATGATTTCCAAGCTTCAAATCTCTATGCGCCTTATCGCTTCAATCTTTCATACCTTTGCTAATCAAGAGAAATGAGCTATTTTCTGTTTCTAAAGAATATTTCTAAATCATTTTGGTAAAAAAAAATCGGAACGAATCAAAGAGAGAAACAAATATGTAAAAAAAAATGTTTTATTTTTGAGCTTAGCCGTGTACAAAGCACTCTGTTCTTGTAAAATGTATTCACGGAATAACCAAAATTTTGGTTACCAAATAAATCCATTCAAATTCAAATGCATATTGATGTAACATTTTTAGATCATAGACACAAAGAAAAATAACATTTATCGGAGTCAAGTGCTTCTGGTTTGATGTACTTGTGTGGCCAATGAGAATTGTTGATAGATAGATGGAATACGGCTCGAAAGAGAGACTAAAATAAAAAAAAAATGATTCAAAGATATGTATGCATTTTTCTATGATTTCCTTCAAATTTCGGTTGAGTTTAATACTGAATTTTTGAGTTTTCGCTACGGAAAAATCGTTTCAAAATCAGTCAATACGACTAGAAGCAGAAATAATTGGGTAAGTTTGTTCTAGAAGTGGTTTTTTTTTCTCGCAAACATCAAATGATCTTAAATTCAATCAAAATTTATTAGTAATTGAAATGGCGTGAAATTCATTGTGTTCAAACTTCGATCGAAAGGTTGTTTGTATTTCGTTCAAAATGATGAGCTCATGAATGTGTAGCTCACTATGTAAAGCGAGAGAATTTTCGCTTGGGTCGCGCTCGATCATTGTCGCTTCGTTCAAAATGACAAATTAATGTGTGTCTGATGTGAAGCAACAAAAAATCTCTCTCTCTCGCAGTCGACTATTAAACAAATTTCTAATATTCAAACAAAAAAAAATTGACACAAAGAGAATTGTCAATCAGATGATTTAATAGTCTATCACTTGCGTGTGCGCTTGTTCCTTCTGCGTTCTGTCTTGACATTGTTGAATCATAATGGCTTCAGAATATTATTTATAAATTTGCACGTCGTGAAAACGGCGCGAAAGATAGTGGGAGAAAGAGGGAGAGAGAGAGAGAGAGAGAGAGGCATTTTCAAGAGACGACTAATGTGCCATTCAATTCTTCAAGTTTTGTTTGCGCATCTTATTGTTGCCTATAATGGTACTTTTATCTTTGTTTCCTCATGACTCAGTGCCTATTGTTACTTTCTGGGCTAACCGCGAACAATCGATGTATAGACTGTCTTTTGTGTACATTTCATCTTATCACACACACACACACACACACATCCATGACAGAGAAAGCAAATCAACGGGTTTTTCTCATCTTTTTGCTCGATATCCGAGGAATATTTGCTTTGCACCGAAAACAACGGACACAATTTTAATTTGTGCGTTACACGATTTTACTCGAAATTACGCGTTGGCATACTATTTCAGTTGCATTTATCCTGCACCATATGTCGCACTAGTGCAATTACGTATGACACATGACGCAAACAAAGCTGTTGTATTAGCTGGCAAAGACGCCAATTCATTCTTTGACGCTCTCATTCGTTTTTATTCGCTTTTTCTTCTTCTTTCAATCAATAATTATATTCCGAAACTACGCAATATTTATTTGTTTGATACCCACATTGCGATACAATCAACTTATATGAAGCGCTTGTTTGTTTGCCTAAAAAAACAGCCATCGCCTAATGTGACACACTCAAAAACAAAAGAGAATTTTCGAAGAGATGATACAATGGATTTGAACAAAGTGTGGAATGAATTTTGGTTGTCTTGATTAGAATGTGCTTTAGAAATATGTCAAATCCGACCTCGTTTCAAGGAGAAATTGATTATTGTCTTTGATTTGCCATTGAAATTGGTAAAAAAAATAACGAATGAACTTCATCTAAATTGAAGAAACGAATGAAAAATGAATCAATTTGACAAACAAAAAAATGGTTCGTTTTATTGGAATGCAAAAATTCATTTGAATTTTTATGAAATAATAAAATATGAAACGGTTTCAAAGCTTTAAATTCGGTAAACAACTCATTAAAATCAAAAGATGAAACAATTTCACAAAAATTCCAATTTTATGATCGTCGTAATTGTTTTTGTCTGCACGAAAACGTGCCTCACTTTCGGTCTGAGTGACTCACAAGCGAAATTGCAATATATTGATAACAATAATAGCAATAACAAAGCGAACACACACGATGTCGTATTAATGAACAAGTGGCAAATTAATACATGGTGTATATTCGTTGGAAATTGTTGTGACATCGCATTTTCAGTCAATTTGTCTTGGTATTCCATCGTTTGCGCGCGCGACAAAATCCGAAATTCCATCGAATTGTTGTTTTTTCATCGTCGTCGCTCAGTTTTTGTGTTTGTATGTTATAAAAAGCGAAATGACATAGCTCATTGTGCGTATTCATCTATCTATCGTTCGTTCAACACAGTTAATAAATATTCAACCGTACCGAAGCTGTTAAAGTCATTACGTTTGTTGTTATCAAGATTAACAGGCAGACAATACAACGAGAAAAAAAAAACACAGCGTAATTTCGCAATCAAAGTGTGATCAGATTGAATCGAAAATGGGTTCAATTGCAGTTGCGGTGATTTTTGGTGAGCCATGTGAAGTTTTTATTTGATGGAGATTTTTTTTTTCAATTTTACAATATAGAATTTGATTGTGTTGAACCTGGTTTTTGAATGTTTGATATTTGAACTTCCACACCGTGTGATTTAATCGCAGTGTTAATTTAATTTCAGTTTTATCGATTAGTTTCGCATTGAGTACACCATTCCCGGATGGCGATTCAGTGGGTGCACGATCGTCTTGCACCGATGGTAACCAGCTAAAATGTGCTTATAAGATTGTCGATCATCGACATAACGGGGCAATCAACACAAAAGTGCAAGACTCACCTGTCAAACGATATAGCTGGCTATATTGCAGTAGACTTGAACGTCTCAATCTGTTATACCACGAGGCTCCGGATCAAAACTGCGAAGAATGTAAAAATGCACCACGTGTCCAAATCCCGTGACAAATCAATACAATTCAGAATATGACAATAGTTTTGCTACCGTGTGCACCGTACTGACACAGCAGTAGGCAACCGATTAGTTTAAGACAAATATTTAGCTAGCTGAAAATGATCATCCAATACAAAACAGAATGATCAATTGATCATAGTAATTTGACCATATGTTCATAGTAAAAACATTCCACAAATTTAGACGTGTCTGGCTCAATTAGAATTTCGCTCTAGTTGACTGGCAAAAATTACGTCGTAGTCAACCATTTTTCATACACAAATTCAGTTCACAATAATCTTTTTTTTTCCGTAGATTTTCGTTAAAGTCAATCAGTCGGTCATCGAATTTGCACACGTGATTGCATTTCAGTCAACTTTGAACATTCAAATGAAAAGCAATTCTTGTGGTGTGAAACAAAACCAACGATTTTATTCTTAGTGTAAAAACATGTGTTTCAAATTATTGTTAAGACAACGAAAGAATGTACTCTGTTGATGGAAATTACATTTAGATTTATTATCGCATTTCAAATACTGTATTTATTGTTAGAAACAATTTGAAGAGACTTTTTTTCTTCTTCGAATATTTGTTGAATTGAAGTAAACGTGCCAATTTGCTTGACACATTCAACTTCGAAGACTCAAAACATGCAAATGACTAATCAAATTGATTTTGTATTACCATATAAGTTGTGTGATATTCATTAGCTGTATAAGATGTTCATTTCCGAATTCAATCAAAGAATTCCATGTGTGCGTTAGAAAATATGTGAAGTTTGTGTATTTTTTTTTTTGTAGCTCGTATTGTTGTTGTTGCTCATTATAATAAATATTGTTTTTTCTTCTTCTCTATTTTAACCAAACAATAAGCGAATGGAAAGAAATACATGGAAAATAAACGAATAACTTCCGATTGTTATGAACAACAATTCACTTGCAATTATTATACAAATGCCTCATTTTTTTTTATTTTGGCAAATATGAATATTTTTGTGATTTTTTTTTTCGGTGCGCTGCGATCATTTTTCAATGACACTGGTTTTAATGAACGATTTTTGGATGTTTCCGCACTTGGAATTTTTCTAATAACTCATTTTGGAATCCCAAATTTGAACGTATGAGCGCCTTTTTTTCTTCTTTATTTCAATTCATGCCTATCCCAAGCAGCTTAGAGGTCTTTTTCTTCTAGAGATCGAATTCTCGAATTACAACATTTCAAAGCTATGCTACCAAAGTGAAATGATTTGCTTTTTTCAATTTTTTGTTCAATCAAAATAAGTTTAGTAATATTATTGGCTGCACTTGAACCACCACTTTCTCTACCCCAAAATAAAATCATTTTTTTATGGTTTTTTTATTTTCGGACTTTTTTCCGATTTTACAAATTTTAAATTAACCTACTAATCTGCTGGATGGAACTTTTGGATATCATGTGATTGATAAGATTCTCAATTTGCAAATGAGCTACATTTCTCTTTGATACCATCTAAAAATTCCGTACAAGAGTTTGCCCAAGTGCAAAAATGTGAAGCATTGTATTTTCGCTTCGATAGCTCAAAATGCATTAAAACAGTTTTCATTTTTGTTCTTCTTTATAGAAAATTTGATCATCAATCTGATTACAATTTCAATCTTTTCTCCCAATAATTTTATTCTTTTGTAATGAGATAAATAATTAGATCGAATTTAATTTAAAAAATCTTAATTTTTTGTCTTTATTCCTTATTATCTTCCGAATGTTTAACAAATCACGTAAGTATCCTGATAAGTTATAACAATTAAATTCATTCAATGATTTTCACTTTATTGGTTAGTAAAAGGTGGGCAAAAGAAGGCAATTGACAGAGGTTTTTCCACTATTTCCATAAAATACCGGATTAATGACATCTATTCAATCATTTAAATTCAATGTGAACTAATATTGAATGGGCAAAGTTTAATTTTCACCATGAAAAAAAAGTCAAAGCCAGCCATTCAACTTAGACATTCGTCGTAGTCTGTTGATTAAGATAATAAGGATATTATAATATATCATAACTGATATGCAATTTGTCACATAAAAAAAAGAATTTAATGCTAATTTAATCATTCCAATCAGTTGCTGATTGGCCGTTAGTAGAAAGTATCTCTCTCTCTTAAATAACTATGTTTCAAAATGTGGAACCGTTAAATGCTAAATTAATTTGACTTTTTTACAAGTAATTACCTGTTGAAAGGGAATGGAATTAACAATACGCCCCAATATCACCTATCACGTCACGAACCTTTGCTACCACCGCAACTGCTATTTTTCACATTCATTCCCAGTGCAATTGTGCATGGCGCCACCACTCATTTCAATGCGGGGTTGAAAAGGATTTAAAATCCGTTGTTACATGCAATTAGACGAGCAATCAATGCCCACTAATCTCGGCAACCCTTATTATTAATTTACTCACCTTGGCCAATGGCTATTTTGCGTGCGACGAAACATTTACCTGCGTCAACTATTTTATGTTATCTAATTTATATCGACAAATAAACAACAAACACGGATGTATATCACTTTCAATTAATTACGACTTTTTTCCTATGCAACTATAATTAATCGGTCTTTTGTATTTCAATGGAGCCGCTATTTTTTATTTAATCCTTCGATGAAATCACACTATTTCAACCACATGTTATTATCATAATTATTTGAAAAGGGGCACGATTTTTGAACCGAATTGAAGAGAGAAAGTGAAAAAAAAAGATTTAACACGCTTAAATGAACAATTGATTTTTTAACCCCGAAAACATATAAGGCGGCGTGATATTTAACTGCACGATAAACATTAATTATTTAAAGAATGATGAAATTTTAAAGAGCTAACGCCGAAGTTGCTCGGTTTCACAGAGTATTCGTGTGAGCACCATTTAGGTAAGAGATTTTACTATGGTACCGGATCAGAGCACGTGAAAGCCATGCATTTTTATGGGGTTGCAAAAGGCTGAAGCCATGGGTGTTGAATGTCATTCAACGCCACTAAGCTGTAGACATCTCTCTCCGGCTATACGGTAAACAACAGAACCAACACTGAACATGAAAATGAAATGTTCAATTGTGTTTGTTTCGTTAGTTTCAACTGCGCCTCTACGAGAGGTCACTTTTGTCGTTTCTTTTTGTTATTTTACATATAAAATCAATGGTATTAGACGAGGATGGCTGAAGCGATAAATTTTAAAAAGCAAAAGGCTGAAGCTAATAGATTGGAGTGGCAAAAGGAGAATTTACACAGGGCGGCACAGGTCTTAGTCAGCTTCTAGATCCGACACCAATTATAAATGTGATCAACTTGTTCGTAATTTACGAATCGTAAGATGCATGTTGATTTTTGGGAATCCCAAACTCAAATCCTGTGCAAATGGGCTTGAATGTTATTTATCTATGAGTCAATTACAAATTGGCAGCAGATAAGCTTGAACAAAGATCATAAGACCTTTTTTGTTTCATTTATCATAAATAAATAAATTATCAATTTAATGGCATTTCTATTTGAAGTAATGTTATTAGAGGTTGAAAAGGCTAGTATTTCCAGCGCATTTTGCTGAGCAAGAACCAGTCAAGAAGCTAAAATTATAACGATTCTGGTGAATTATTTTCTTTCAAAATTATCATCATTTAGTTACGAGACAATCAACAAATTCAAATACCATTGCTTCTATTTACATTTTCTGTGAATAAAATGAAACAAAAAAAAAAAATGTTTTCCCCCAGACAAAATTAATAACGCGTCTCAATTTTCATCATAATTGTCAATATCATTGTGCAAGTTCTCTGACATTTGCATTGTTTATTGTCGGTCAATGCACAAATGAAAGCGACATTAAAATGCCTTTCATGCATATAAATAAGTTCGTGCAAACTTCTATTGTTCTGGCCCGTTTGTTTATAGTGATGTGCACAGCTGATTTCATTGATGGAACAAAATTAAAATTAAAAGAAAAAAAATTTCTTTGCAAATTTGAAATTTTTGCCGATTGATTTTGTTTAGATTTTCAATTATTCAATTATTTGCCGTAAGTGATGTGAAGGCGTGTCTTAGATTTTGTTTTTAAGTGCATTTTTATTCGTCAAGGAATAATCTGAATATGAGAAATGGATCTCCAAAAAAAAATGCGTTCTGCATTTCAGAATACGATAAATTTACTCCAAATTCAGTTGTTCCCATTCTGTTTTTCATCGAAAGAAAATAAAGTTCATCGTCTTATGATCGAATTCGACTACAAAAAGGGAAAGAAACTTTCACAAGTTATGGTTTCATTTTTGTCTGGCAAAGGAATGTCGTTTCTTGCAAACGAAAGCGAATTGATTTCAAAAACAAGCGATCTGCTTGCATAATGTCTGCAATTCGAATGCCGAAATAGAAAATTAGGCTGGAAGCTGTTCGTCAAATCACGTTCCTGATTACGCATCATTCTTCCAGTCGTTTTATGAATGGAGTTATATTGATCACAGTGCGACGTGAACGTGATCGAGTAGCGGTCGTTGTTGTTTTTTTTCTTGCTCTTTCTCTTCTAGTTGTTGAAATCACAGAGATCGCGGCCATAAGTCGTGCATATTGGCAATTGGTTTGGTTCTTGTGTCGAATTGCGGTTAAACGAGAAGAAGCAGAAAAAAAATTACGTAAAAGTCGAACGAACGTGCAGCAGCAGCCAATTTGTATTACGATTAATATAGTTGCGGTTAACAAGCAAAGCGTACGGTGTCTGCGATTATTTGACACTGTGTGTGTGTTTTTGTTCAATGGAATTGATCCGGTCAGTGTGTGTTTCGTTTTTTTTTTCTCTCACTGCAATTGAAAAATTACGCAAAATGATCGGAAATGGAGTCAAATAACAGATGTTCTCAATCAATTTTTTTTGTACGTGTACGAAGTTGATGTTCATTTCCTATTATTGATCAGGAGTGTTCGGTCATTCTGGCGCAGGAAGTGTGAAAAGATCGCGTTCAATTGCGGTTCATAAATTACACATGATTTTTTTTTAAACGATGAATTCAATGAAATTGGCCATGAATTCACGTAGTAAACAGAGAACGGATCGTTGTGAAAAAAAAAACAGAAAGAATCGATTGATCGTAAGACAATCGAAAGCTGCAACATTGGAGATGAAATTACCGTCTGAGATTCACCACTACTTGTCTCGACTTTTCAGTCTGCCATGGAAATTTTAGACTCAATTTTAGACATGTGCTTATCATTAGCAAAACACAAACGATTCATTAGAAATGGATGCGTGAACGCTTTCTTTTACTTCTGTCGATGTCATCCACTCTGATTTGGTATTTAAAATAAAGAAGAGGAACAACAAAAACAACAACAACGAAAAAAAGAACACTCAACGAACGAACATACGTTGGAAAAAATCATACACATTTCGTGTGCATATTTTAAAGTTGATTGTATTTTGTGTGAGCGCGCGCGCGAGAGTCCCCCCAATCCTCATGTACATTCGTAATGTGCCACTAACACTATAATATATCGTTATAATATGCGCGCGATACGCATGGACAATAGAGCGTTACAATATGTGAAATATTCCCTTTTTTTCCTCTACTCTCCATTCCGTACACCGAAAACACAACATATCACATATACGCGCTTCTCTATGTCTCTCTCTCTCTCTCCCGCTATGTGTGTTGTATTGATTTGTGTATTAGAGAACAGAGTAAAAATGCCGTGAATAAAATTATAAAAATTAAAAATAGAAAAAAAAACCGAACGCAGAAGAAGAAATAAACACAAACACACACAGAAATAAAGAAAATACGGAAAAATTACAAATGATAGAATCGACAACAATGAACGTCAGCGCAAGCAAGCCCAAGCCCATACATTATATTAAAAGCACATATAGTCATCACCACTATCTAATTTTGCATCGGAATTAAAGTGGTTTTTTTCGT